CGGCCGTGGCAACAGCTGTCGCCGCGTGCGCGAATCTGGATGCTGTACTTTGTCGTTATTGTTTGATTCACGGTGGGAAAGGCCGCAGTGGATACAAGGCCCTCGATATTCTACGTGCAACTTTCTTGGTTACTCTTTTTGATTTTGCGTGGTGCTTGCCGTGTTGCTCCAGGGTCGTTGTCTGAAAGAACAAAGCCGTACGGACGGAAAACATGCAGGGAACTATTACCTTCCTGCCCTCCCCCCCCCGGCCCGCTGCCAACGCCACCGCCATCACCGCATTGCGTGTGTTTCTCCTGGTAACCTCCTTGCCACGATCGAATCCTGACCGAGTCGGGCCTCACCTACATAACTGTCGTCCGGGGTGGGGTCATGAGAGCACACCCCCGTCACTGCGTGATACAAGACGAAATGCTCGGAGTCCCAAGCCATGGTGATAGCGAACCATGCGCGGTGGCGCGACATGTTTGAGGGAGACAACTAGCGTTTGGGGTGCAGCTCAAAATCAACTCCAACCGCCCACACAGCTTAATTAATACCAGAGGTTTTACTCGAGGAGCAGCCCAGAACACCACACCGACCAAGTAAAACGATGCACAAATCTACACACAACCTTCCCTGCACGGCAACTGGCTGCCATCTGACGGCTGCACGTTTCCAAGCTTCGACCAGCCCAGCGGTAAATAGACTTTCCCCAAGCTCGAAAAGCTGACTGCCGGCTGTGCGCCAAGCTCCAACTGCCCACACAGCTTAACTAAGAGGTTTACTCGAGGAGCCCAGAACACTACACCGAACAAACAAAACGATGTACAAATCTACGCACAACTTCCTTACACGGCAACTGGCTGCCATCTGACGGCTGCGCGTTTCCAAGCTTGGACCAGCCCAGCTGCAAACTTTCCCTAAGCTCGAAATCTGACAGCCGGCTGTGGGATTTACCAAGCTCCAACCGCCCACGCAGCTTAATTGAGGTTTTACTCGAGGAGCCCAGAACACCACACCGAACAACAAAAACGATGCAAAAAAAATCTACACACAACCTTCCAACACGGCACGATGGCAGAAGCAGCTACATAGATCACAACGATTGCGCGTGTCCGTTCTACCTATGCCAAAAATCAAGGAAAAATAGCGTATGACTTCAATTGACGGGCGGCCACTCTCTCTACATCCACCGAAACTTGCAGCAGGCAGGGTGTGTATGCGCTACGTATCGTCGCTGAGCGGCACTTGTGCCGACACGCCCAAAGCCATTGCTGCGAGGCGTAGCTCTCCACTGTAGCTGTAGGCTAATCGAGGGTCAGCACCGCCTCCGGAGGGATGTGCAGATCCGCCAGGATGCCCTCCACGTGGAACACGAAGCCCCCTGGCCCGGACACAACCACCTGCCAAGCGGGGAAAGGGGGCACGCGAAAAGAAAGTTTATTGTCGCTGCTGCTACTGTTATTGTTTGTCCATTGCTCGAGCCGTGGTGTAGGGATAGTCTACATATTCAAAGCTGCTCCACGGCTATAAAAAGCATGTGTGACCTATCAATCCCGGTACCTCAATGGTTCCACATCACACCGCAAGCCGCCCACCCACCCTTTATGTGGCGTTTCCTCACCTGGAGGCGTCCGCTAGAAGTTTCGGTGCCGACAAGCTCGCGAAGAGCGTCGGTCATACCATTGAGGTTGTACGGCGGGTGAAGCTCCGAGTTCGCCGGTACCCGTCCCTCGGCTTTCTTGGCGGCGACTACGGCCGTCATGACAGGCTCGCCTAGAGCCCTCTCGAGGATTTCCACCGTCAGCTTGGATTGCTGCAGCCCGGTGCCCGACTGTGTACCATCCAAGAGTTTATACCATCCAGGAGTTTATATGTAGTTCACGTGCGTCGTGGTGGCATGTTTGCAATGTTGTTCGCGTAGCGTGCCGAGGTATTGATTGGTGTACCGGAGGTAGAAAGCGCGAAAAGGATGGAACGCAGAACAACAGGAGGTTGATCAGGTGCTTGCCTTACTTGTTTGCATTGAGACACAAGACGAGTTTTTGTCTCTTGGCCGCGGAGCAGATTCGAGAGGGAGGAAAAAGAAAACAACAAAAAAAGGCTGGGTATGCCGACGCCGTCGCTGGGCGGTACGGGTCGATGGACTGTTAGACTGCGCACAAGCAACGAAGAATGACAACGAGGGGCATGACAAATATTGTGACCGTGGGGCAATACGTGTCGACCTGGGCGGAGTTGCTCAAGAGAACCGTATGTTTCCAGCTTGTTAGGGTGCTGGAAGCGTTTGTCTACTGTACGGCCGCTATTACTCCGGACATGCTACCGGTGCCAACGAGGTGCTTGCTGAAGCATCATCATGGGGGCACGCATCCTTGACATGCGATGCACACCATTTGCATCAGACGTCTCAAGTAGCTTATCCCTCCTAGCAACCGAAACGGGCAGGGAAACAATCAACACAAAAGAGTGTCTCATCAAATGCCTTCAGCTAGCCGGGTTTCCATCAACAAACCAACAACCCGACACTCGTACACAAGTTGGGTCTTCTCACGTCATCGAGGGGCGATCCTCCCGGCTGTCCCGCGGCTCGCATCGCTGACCTGTCCCTCGATGCCCATCGCCTGCCCTTTCTCCGCGCCCCAACAGTCTTGGGTGGTCGCCCTTGCCCGTTGCCCGAGGAATCGTCCGCGACACCATCCCGCGTACCGATCTTCGACCGGTAAGAAGAATGGAACCGGGGGGCGGTGGGCTTGATTCTGCCGCCGCCGCTGCCGCCACCACCATCATCATCATCATCACCATCGGGATAGCTGTAGATCTTTAACTTGCTTCCCCGAGCCTTCTTCTTGGACCAGCGTCCACGGTCCAGGCCCGCCGCCTGGATGCTATCGGCGACACGGATGCCGCTCCGCGCGCTGTCTCCGCCTAGGCCGTCGCCACTACTACCGCGCGGGCCACTTGTGGACTTTCGAGCGGCGCTCTTGCGCCTGGTGCTGCCCCATTCCGTGTCGACCAAACGCCCTCCTCCACTCCCTCTGCGACCAGCGATCAGGGTGCCCCTGGGTACGCCGTCGTTGTCACTCCTGCTCTTCTGCCCCTGCCCCGCCTCCTCCTCCGACCAGATATGGGCGCCACCGGCAAAGGACGTGCTTCTAGGATTTTTGGCCGCGCCGCTACTCGAAATCGCTGACCCTCCGCTGCCGCCGCCGCCGCCGCCGCCGTTTCCGTGCTGACGGTGCTTCCCGGCTTTACTTTTCGTGTCTGCGGCGGTGTCGCTCGCAGACCATGGGACATCGACGTCCGCCCGCTCCGCCTCGCCGATGGTGTTCTCGAGACCAAGGTCTCCGCCGCCGCCGCCGCCGCCGCCGCCGGTCTCCAGGTCCCTGCTGCCGGTGCTGTCGAACACACCGAGGCTGCGGGTGCTCTTGCTCCCTCCGGTGTGCGAAGAGTCTTCCTCCGAAACGCGCGACAGCTCGCTGACGGACCAGAGGCGCGGCAGGTTGGCTGGCAAGGCGTCGTCGTCGTCGTTCTTGGCGTCCCCTGTGTCGCTGTCGACCTCTCGCTCGCCCCGCGGGACGAGGCCCGCGGCGGCCCCCTTCTTCATGAGCCTGGCCTTGGCGCGACGGAAGGTGTTCCCGGGAATGTTGCGACGGGTGTGGTCGCCGCTTATCAGGGCCGTGACCTCCAGCAGGCCGTTCGCTTTCGCCTGTTGTGCGGTGGTGGGGTGGCGAATTTGTCAGATTTTTGTAGATTTAAGCAAAAGAGCAACCGAAAAGACGCTACGGTTTCCGAGGGACACGCGCAGGTCCCGCGACAGTTGGTGCACGGGGGATGTGCACGACCCACGCCAAAAATACCCCCTAGGGTCAGTCGACTGCTGCTGCGCAATAAACAAAAAAAAAACTCCAGCGGAGTTGAGGGGCTTGTGCGGGAAGAGGCGGGAGGCTTTCCCAGCGCCAAACTGTTCCGCGAGACTAAGGTGATGCTCGTCTACGTGGGGTCAATTCTGACGTAAACCTCTCGTGGAGATCACCAGGTAGATGGCCGTCAGATTCTTTACGCGGCGCGCGCCCACACATGACCTGCAAAGCTGTCAGTTCGTCCGTGCAATAGAGGTCGGCCTCGACGCTGTTCTGCCACAGGAGCACCAGCCTTGAGTGCACCCCCGTCACGGTGCTGTGGCTTCGGCTGGTGCATGCGTGTGCAGATGCGGGCACGCAAGAATTGCGGAGGGAAGCAGCACGACAAGACACGAAAGTCGCTTGGTCCGTCAGGAACAAAACACTAACACGGCCGCTGTTGACACCAGCAGCAACATCATGAGCGTGAACTACATATCACGCAGCACCTATCGTAACTTGCGTATTCACGACTTCGTACGTGAGGCCTCCTCCTGGAGTTGCAGTAGGACTGCCGCTTAGGAAGCAGCGCTACTTTGTACGTACGTGCAAACAACTAGCTCTGCAGTGCATGAGGTTGCGTTCCCCCTAGACCGGAGGTCATGTGATGCTTCTCTACGCTCTTGTGCTCCAACGTTCTTCAGCCAATCGGAGAACGTCGCCCCTCTGGGAACAACCCTGCTGCTACCCCAACCCTTTGTCGTGTTTCGAAGAGCCGGTCAGCAGCATCGAAGGGACTACATCAAAAATGACTCGCAGACCGACCGCATGCGCACCTGCCCGGTGTGAGGTGGTCACGGATCATTTGTATCACTTTTTGGCGTGTCAGCATGCATGCATGAGTCGGCCATTACGCCGGCGACGAAGAGCCGCAGAGACGCGACAAGGGCCGGGGGGGGCGGGGGCGGAGGGAACGGACGTCAGCACCGACACGCCATGGTCTGCAAGTACGACGCGAGGACAACCCACGCTGGGATTCCAGGCGGTGCTGCGCCGCTGTTGCGCCGACACTGCCGGCAGCCGCCAAATTCGCAGCATTATTACATGGAAGGCAGCGCGAAACTCCTCTCAGCGCACTATTGGCCGGGGATCGGTTCCTGCCAGGCAATCAAACCGGTAGAAACGAACCACCATGAACGTGCACGCCTCGAGCTCGGTTTTCTCCGAGCTTGCACACTCACTTGGGTTAACACCGGTTCCGGCCGCGATCATCACCACGTTCCGGTGGGCAGGCGGAGGGGTGAGCCGGTGCTGCAGGAAGGGCCCCTGCAGCTGCACCGCGGGGTTGTCGAGGTTCTGGTGACCGCCCCCACGTACCCAACCACAAAAACAAACAAGAGGAACGGATAGTCGGTGTTACTCGTTCGAATCGATCGTTCCTCCCAAATCAGTCGATCAAGTGCATCGGTAGATCCATCGGTGGATCCGTGGGTTGGATGATCCCCTGTGGGCCATCGAGATAACTTGTTGCTGGCCGAGATGAACATGTGATGGTGTTTGTGTGTCTAGCAATGGCCAACGATCGCGACGGCGGGTACAACCCACAATACCGAGAGAAGCAAGGGGCATAAAGCGGAGGGAAACGGTTATATCCTGGTACAGTAGGGCATCAGGAGCGCACAACGCACGGAGTGGTGCAAAGATGGCGGGCGCTGGCGATGTCCGGGCACAATCCCTACGGCGTTTCCGTCACGGAACAAGTAAGTCCCACGTGCACGCTGACCCTCTTCTTGACAAAGCCATCAACAACTTGATAACAATCCCTGCTGAGCGGAAAGAGGGTATCGCCCTCGATAGATGTTGGGGAGGTTGTACCCGTCATGAAGGTGATGTCCGCAGATACATGACCCTTCTCTATCCAAATCTTCCTTTCCCCCATAGATCAACTACATGTAGTCTGTCCTGTTGTCGTCGACCACCCCAGAAGCCGTACCTTGATAAGATGAGCCAGGAGGCCGCTCATCAATCCATCGGGGTAAAGCCTGATCCGCATCTCCACGCACAGGACGCCCTCGCTCGACTCGAGTGAGGGCACCACCCGCCGCTTTCCCTCCTCGTCGAGAACCCGTACCGCGAAAGCATTGTACGCCCGTTGTACCACGGTCTGTGCAGGTTGTGGTGTGTACGGGTTGTTCCGCCGCAAGAAGCCCGACCGTGTTTCGTCGAAGACGATAAGACGGGATAAGGGTAGGGGGACGGAGGTTAAGAAAGGGCATGATGCTCTCTAACTACACTCACTTGCCGAGCGACGTAGACAGGCTTTTGGCGATATCGGGGAAGTCTCTGCCGAAGAGGACGACAGGAGGTAAGCAGGTACCGCCGGGCAGGACCAGAGGTAAGCACGTACCGTAAAGCGCACGACGATTTCAATGAGTGATAACATTTGTATCCGAAACAGCAACAGCAGCAGCAGAGCAGCAGCAGCAGCAGTAGCTCTCGTCAAGCACGGAGGACGAATTCTACGCCAAGTACCATTTCCTCCCCTGTCTGCCAAGCGATCAAACTTGAAGAGAAATGAGACACGCGCGCAACTTCCCGAATGGTCTCAGTCTGGCACAATCAGCACTCACCATCCCCGCCTCTTGAGCCAACCGCATGTTGAAGTGGCAGACCCCCTCCATTGAACCAACCTGTTACAACGCGTACAGACAAACCGTCGGCAACGACAGCGGCGCACAAAGACACATTAAGAATGAAGAAGACGTTCGGGCGGTAGGGGATGGATGCACGCACGTTTCGGGTTGAGTTCCCCCCCAACATATTGTTAACTTCCAAGGAACGTTTGATTTCGTTAAACTGACACCATATTAACAATACTGGCAGCAACAACTGCCCTCCCCTCCCCGCGTTGTCATCCTGTGCTTGTTGTTCGATATCCTCCGCGAGTTGGATTTTCGTAGTACTTGTTCAGGCCAGCTTGCGGCCACGGAAATCTGTTTCTTTGCCTTGAAGAAACTTTGGCGAGAGGTGCTCGACGGATAGAGGTGAGAACAGCTTTCAGCGTGAAGATAACAAGACCGGACGGGTACAGCAAGAGGTCAGAACATAATATCAACATCAAGACAACGCCAATAAGAACAAAAGCAAGTCAAAACCACAATCCACAGGGGTGCAGGGGAACAATACATTGTATACGATTCGGAAATATTTTTCGCCTCGAATACGAACCTCTAGGTCTGATAGCGAATGGGGTTCGGCAGATTCTCCCCCCTCAAAACCCAATGCCAAAGAGTCCTACCAGTACACTCGTGGGGCCTCAAACGGGTGGGTTGTACGGGGGAGGATTCTACACTATATAGACTATTGGGCGGGTGAAATCTCACATATTTCATGCTTTGAACAAGGCGGGTGCCCGCTATAGGGCGGGTGAATCAACTTGTCACCTACGGTACCCGCCATTGTATCGTGACCCTCTGCAAACATGTCCAACACAACGACAGCCGCTAGATGAGCACATGATCTACATCTACCTGTGACTCACCAGGGCTGCCGCCGTTCCCGGGCAGGCGAACACAAACTTGTGCACAGGCCGCCCGCCGCCGTCACACAGCTTCTCGTGCAGCAGCAAGGGGCACACGTGGAAGGAATGAAGCGGGTTCCTCGTTCTCGCCACCCTGCGCGGGATTCTGAGCGTGCTGTCTTCCTGGTGAAACGCGAAAACAATACACACCAAGCATGTCACGTCGAAGGAGGGAAGTAACATGAGTTAGGTCGGCGGTATGACGGGGGGTGTAAGCGTACCATGCACGGCCGAACTGTAGTGTTCCGACGGAAGACCCTCGCACCACCGCCACACGTCGGGGACGGAGATTGCACCGATGAAGGGGCACTGATCACTGTATTGAGAGTTACACCAAAGGGCGGTCGGTGTGTGTGTGTATATTTCGGTCTTGTACGCGTCGAGAAAGGGTGTCCTAGCGGTGGCGAGCGCACGATGCTCCGATGGACCTACGCGAAGAATTCGTGATGGACTGACTCATAGTACACAAGACCTACTTGAATTTTTCCTCTTGTTCTCGAACCGACACATCGGTAGATTGTTTCGGGCCCCCCAAAACTTCCCGCAAACCGATGTCATACAACGCTTCAAAAGTTTTTCAACTCTCAGATATGCCAAGTTCCTTGAAAATACGAGATACCAAACCCTCCCAGCGCGCTCTTGACCTACCTGAGGGAGGCATTCGGTCTCGGCCGGCAGCGATTGGAACAGACCAATCAAGAGGTGTGCTGGGCCAACCGCGGTCGAACCAACCAAGAGAATACCCCACATTTCCGACAACAACTTCAGTCTTCCTGTACTTTACGCCACATGGCACCTGTTTGGAGTCGCTCTCATCAACGCTGGCCCCAAAAAACTCGATCTGTGAACCCAGCCGCTTGAGCATGCGCGCCCCCGCGGCCTTGATAACGACGGCCGGCTTCTCCGGTAGCGCGGGCTGTCACGGCGCAGCACAAGGACACAAATGCAAAGCATGACGTCCGCAAGACATCGCAGCACCCCCGTTCTTCAGAAGGAGGGAGCTTCGGCGTACCCTCTCACAGGGATGGCCAAGAAACAACTTATGTGTTGGGGTACAAGATGCGGCAGCGCAAAGACGGGTGCCACGACTTTACCGGATCATTTCTCACGCCGGGAAAGACAGGCTTCGTGTAAAGGAGGGGGTATCTTACACCGGCGTAGTCAAATGCGCCTCCACTTGTACAGCAAAAAGGAGAAAGCAGCGCACTAGCCGGCGCCGCTTACTCTCTCCACCTAAAGCCACCGCGCCAGATGCACTGAGATCGCCGCTGAAACCGGACTTGGTGCCAACATCGCGTCGTGCACCATCACCCGGTGTTCCGAACTTGTCGCAGCTACGTGACGCACCTCCATCCAACGGGGGCTGACAGCTCGATCCGAAGCCAAGGGGCAGAGCAGCTCCTTCGGCTTGCCTTGCCACCCTTCGCCGCCGACAGTAGATATGGGCGCCGTCGCGAAACGCTTGAGGGTTGGTGCGGGGTGAGGCGGTAGCGTCAGCGACGCCCCCTCCGCCGTTGCAGCCGCCCCCGGGGCTGCCGTTCTCCGACCTGTTCTCGCCGACGAATCACTCCATACCTCTGGAGGAGACCGGGCGTTCAGGATGGCGGAGGCCTCCGCAGAAAGCCTGACCGCCGATCCCGCAGCCACGGTCGCCGACGGTTCCCCCGCTCCCCCCGACGGCAGCTCGGCCGTCTTGCTCCTGCTAATCTTCGGGATTCCGACGCTCACGCGACGGCCGAGACTACTTCTACCGCGCATCTTCTCGCCGCCGTCGGAGCCGCTCTCGTCAGAGCCGCTGCACGACTTGTTCCTCGCCCTGCCCCTGACGGACAACCGTTCCCCGCCGCCGCCGCCGCCGCCGTCCACGCCACCGGAAGAACCGCCCCTGCCGGAATAACTATCATCGCTGTCGTTGCTCTTTCCGGTGTCGTCGCTGTCGAGAAAGGGCGCGGGACGGCCGAGGCTGGCGGTCTGCTCACGCGCGGGCGTGGACGCCCGGTAGGAGCCGGAGTAGCCGCGGGGAGTCGTGGTTGTGGAGGAGAAAAAAGAGCGGCGGGCGTTGGAGCGGGAGTTCCTGCAGGTGGGGAGCGTCGCCGGAGCGCCTGCCTCGGCGCTGCTGCCGTCGCTGGCGGCGCCGGAGCTGGACAGGGAAGCCTTCCGTCGGTAGTCGGACGCGTACCCGTCGCCACTGCCGCTACGACCGCCGCCGCCGAATCCGCCGCCACCCCGGCTGCCGCCGCCCTCGGCTTCGGCTTCGCTTGTGTAGGTCTCTTCCATGTCATCCTCTTCCTCGATGTACCCCACCACGAGGCTCCTAGCGATCTCGAGGGCAGTCTTGTGAGGTGGATAATAGATATTTTCGGGGGGGGGGGGGGAGTATTCAGGACGGTATGTTATTAGCGGTGAAGGCGATTTACTGGATGGTTATTTATCTGGGGTGGATATTATTGGACTTTGAAGAGGCGTTTCCCTGGTTGCGGCAGGTAGGAGGGTGTTGGCTCATTTTCGGCGTTTCGCTATATTGCTGCAAGATGCTTCACGCCCTGACGCAGCGAGTCAAGGATGGGCGGGTTGGTATTATAATCTATAAGTAAGGCTGTTGCCATCCTCTCGTGGTCGGCTCTCGCTTCCCTTCTGGGAGTGCAGGCCGGAGAGAACGATACGCTTGGTTGGTGGTGCCCGTGTCAAGTCAGATCTACATCAAGTACCACGGGTTCCACCACCTAGATAGGGCGCCGCGGTAAGTCACGCGTGCTCAGCGCAATATTGCTCCAAGCACGGCGCACCGACACGCGGAGGGCTATACAAAACAATCGTACCCTTACCTACCCCATCTAGAGCATCAGAGGGCAAAACGGAAAACCACGTGCGGATCCGCCCATGCGTGACCCCCCCCCTCCCCCCTTGCGTAGACCGGATCGACTCACATCAGTGTGACGGTGGGGTTTGTAGACCGTTCCGGGGTTTCCAACGGAGGCGTTTTCCCCTAAAAACTCGGACGTCACGTCGGTGCCCATGGCGTTGATGATGAGGCGTATGCCACCGGGGTGCCGCTTCGCGAAGTCGCTCACGTTGAGGACCGCGCCGTCGACGATCACCCACGACCGCCCGTTCAAGACCTTATGGATGAACCCGAAACCCCACGAAGAAGGAAGACAATCGTCAAGACCCGGAAGAAAAACAACAACGAAGACAAAATAGACAACGCATGATGCTGTGGCCCGGTTCGGCCTGAGTAAGCGAGGGGCAGCACACGGGGTGTGTAGGTGTTTTTTTCGAGCCACGGATGTTGTGGTGTTGATATCCCCGGTCTCTTTCCTACGGTAGATGGAAACAGTTGAGGTAGTTTGTGGCAACTACCCCCAGTAGAGCATAATTTAAACGAATCTATGAATTGTGAACGGCGGGTTCTTATGTCGGACGACCTGTGTGGTTCGCTGACGGCACGGAAGGTGGCTATCGATGCCCCTCTTAACGACGCTGGAAGTTTGTCGAACCACTAACCCTAACCCGAACCTGAGAAGAGGCCAGGCAACAAAAATTATCAGAGACGTACGGGAACTTACAGAGAGGCGAGAGACACGGACTAATCCAAAAGGCGGCAATCAAAACAGGGCGTTATGGGCGCTGTTGTTTTTGCAATTGTCGTTAGTGCTGTTGTTGCTGCTGCAGATATTTGCCAAAAAAATCGCTCTGACCTCCACCCTGCACCCCCTCGTCCGCACATGTGCGCAACAAAAGTAAGGACCTAATTTTCGTAGGGACTACTACAATCCAACTGAAAGAAGTGCGACCCGGACGTTCGCTTGTTAGCCTACCTTGTCGTTGAACTCCTGCATGGTGTAGATCGGCAGCTCCTCCGTTCTGGGCATGAGCCGGTTGTCCACCTCTTGCTGGATAGCTTCGTCGGTGAATTTCTCGTTGACCAGCTCCACGAAGCAGCACAGCCGGGCGGCACCCTTAGTGAAAAACTGTTTTGTTATAGCCGTCGATCGAGAAGCAAGCGCGTGCGATCGGCGCATGAGCACAAACAGCAGTGCACCAAAACGGTACCAGTTTCGTCGATCTCCCGGTCGTGACAACAAGAGAGAAGAAATTCATCAAAGGACACCACCAAACGCTGCTCACCCCAAAACAAACCGTGAGCACATCGCACTGTTTATCAGAGCTAAGGGTGACCACCCACTCGATACTCCTCCCCAACACAACACAACACACGGACACGATCAGTGTTGAACAGGGATACCATGCCTTGTTGATCGCGGCCGACAAGATATCTTGCTACGGTACACGCACGCACACGCGGCTGGTGCAGAAATCCAGATCCTTTTCTGCGGTCGCGCCCTTTCCTCACACACCCGCATTCTTCAGCAACGTCGAATTTGTCACTCACTCACAATGGCCCCATCCTATCGCTCACTAATTCGCTACGGCTCCATCACCATTCATCTGAGGGTGCACACGCCCTCAGCCTTCATCGAAACCCTCGTCCATAACCCCGCCCACCGATAACCCTTCACCGTCCTTCATCTTTGCGAGCATCGCATCATGCCTCACGCCCTCGCGCAATGGACTAACCCTTCGAGCTTGCTTGCGTACTTCGAGGACCAAGAAGATGGGCGGTATGATCCCCAACCAAATCGGGAAAAGCGTCTTCTGCACAACCTGGAAGTTACCCAACTGGCCGAACGATGAACACACAAGACCAGAGAGCGATTGGGGTGCGTGTTCGGATTAATACTCGGTTGGAACCTTTCCGCATCTTGGGGACTTACGATGAGCTAAGCCCCCGACACCACCGAACACAACGATGCAAGCACCATCGTCGCCGCCGCCACGACCGCCATCCCCTGCCGCCAACAGCGACACGCATGCTTCCTGCCTGATAGCAACTAAACCCGACACACGAAGACACAAAATGAAGCCGACATCCGCCACTGAGGATACCACCACCACCAAACACGATCGAAGCATACACACTATTATAACATAGGCACTCACGGTGAAGTTGATGTCTACCGCTGAGAATATGAGCTTGTCGGAGCCAGAGACTAACTCGAGACCTCTGTAGCACTGGACGAGTCCTGCAGCGTAGGCGAACCATCCCGCCGAGATATGGAAGTGCTTGTTCACCTGGCGTTCATCAGATGATGTGATTTTTTGGGGACACAAATTAACATAAATGCACCGTCGAGCAGAGGGGCGTGGTGCTGCCACTCCGTCTCGGGTGATTCCTCTCATTGCCCCAAGCGTATCTATCCTTTCCTTGATAGGCCCATGTCACGCTCCGGCAGCCAAACGTCCAGCATCGATTTGCAGGGTAAAGGTTTAGCCCCCAGACTACAGGCCTACAACGAAAGACTAGCGGCGTTCTATTTTACATCGAGCATCACCGCTGCTTGGGACAGCACCCCATTCCACCACCTTGTTCGGGTAGGAGGTTCAGAACGCGAATTGATCGAGGAGCAGTCGAGTACCACGCACACACTACCAGAAAACACCAAGCATGGAATCCTGACGCCACACAAAACGGTGGAACAAGCACGCACCCGGTGGAAGAGCGAGAAGTTGTTGGATTTTGCCTCCAACGCGCGAACACGGGCAAAACCGGTCCCGATTTGCAGCACGATAGCTCCGACCATGTAGAAGCCTTGAAAAATATCGCAAGGGTAGGCACCCAGTTAGCCAGAGTCCAAAGGGAAAGGGGGGTAGGAGAAGGAGGAAGGCGTTGGCTTCGATGTTCACCTCTCTCCTCCGCGTCCGAAACCACTGCCTATACTTACCCCACGGCCTACGACAAAACCGGAATACACGCAACCGAGAGGGCTCCCACTTGGCATGGCTCATGCTAGCTGGACAAGAATACCCCCACCCCACCCCACCCCACCCTGCGAGGTCAATGGTCTAACGACTACGGCATGCACGACTATGAGTACACCCCCCCACCCCACCCCACCCCGACTCATCAACCAGTGCGAGAACTTCTCACCACCACCAGCGCTTGGATCAACAAAGGTATGGAACTGCGCGTATGCGCCGCTGCACCTGTATTGCGCTTTTCAAGAAGATCCCCCCTCCGGCGAGGGAAAACAACAAGCATAGATACATATTCTGAGACATTCTGATGCCAGCTGCCCCCCTCCCCCACGCACACGCACCACACGCACCGGACAATCTTGATGAGTTTGTTTTTGCCATCGACTTACCCCACTTGGCGTGCTCCGAGTTGTGCGAGCCGGAGGTTGTGAAAACGGCTGTGATGGCGAGGGGGAGCAGAGCTTCCGCACATATTACCTGTTGCAATCCCAGAAGGGGGGGGGGGGGGGTGTACTCATAGTCATGTATGCCGTAGTCGTTAGACCATTGACCTCGCATCCCTACCAAGCCGGGACGGAGCACGCCGGGTTCTCACCGGACCAGGCTCTCACATCACCAAGCGCGAAGCGCCGTGAGGTATTCGGCGAGTCGCATGAAGGGTGAGCTGCATCCTGCTAAGGGTGTTCGGCATCTTGTGCTTACTTCCTTGCGTACGGATGACAGCTACGTATGACTTAATTTATTTTCTGGTGCTTTTACTTCCAGAGACAGTTGTAAGCACTGTGTAACTGCCTCGAGGAAGCTTGACCATTTGAACACAACGTGGTGCGATCATCCCCCGTTGCGCGGAGTGAGGGTTCTCCACCCCGCACAACATGATCTACTCGACCACCATTATGGTTACCGCCAAAAAAAAACGAGGTAAAAAAAAAAAACGGTAACCTGGTTGCCGAGTTCACGAAGTGAATTGGCTTGTTTTACAACGTCGTTGCCAAGCGACGAAAACCCAATCCCGATGGCAAACACCGAGTGGGGGGCTTGTTTTACAACGTCGTTGCCAAGCGACGAAAACCCAAACCCCGATGGCAAACACCGGGGGGGGCGGCTTGTTTTACAACGTCGTTGCCAAGAGACGAAAACCCAACCCCGATGGCAAACACCGTCGCCCGGGGGGTCGGGAATACCAGAAGGGGGGGGGGGATACTCATAGTCGTGCATGCCGTAGTCGTTAGACCATTGATCTCACATCCCTACAAAGCCGGGACGGAGCACGCCGGGTTCTCACCGGACCAGGCTCTCACACCACCAAGCGCGAAGCGCCGTGAGGTATTCGGCGAGTCGCATGAAGGGTGAGCTGCATCCTGCTAAGGGTGTTCGGCATCTTGTGCTTACTTCCTTGCGTACGGATGACAGCTGCGTATGACTCAATTTATTTTCTGCTGCTTCACTTCCAGAGACAGTTATAAGCACTGCGTAACTGCCTCGAGGAAGCTTGACCATTTGAACACAACGTGGTGCGATCATCCCCCGTTGCGCGGAGTGAGGGTTCTCTACCCCGCACATCATGATCTACTCGACCACCATTATGGTTACCGCAAAAAAAAAACAGAGGTAAAAAAAACAAACGGTAATCTGGTTGCCGAGCTCACGAAGAGAATAGGCTTGTTTTACAACGTCGATTGCCAAGCATCGAAAACCCAATCCCGATGGCATACACCGGGGGGGGGGGCGTACTCTTATGTTTTGCATGCCTAAGCGGTTAGACCATTGACCACGCGTCCTCGAGAGGACGGAGCATTGTTCCCACAGGACGGATCACCGATGGCCAATCGTTCCTTCCTACTTTGCCAAAGGTGGCTCAAAAATGTCTTCCCTAGTCTGTCTATCCTTACGATATCCCTTCCCGCCTTTTCAAACCACTTCCTACTCCCCAGTACAGCTACCGTCCTCTCCTTTCTATTCCATGCCTCAAACATCTCCCTGTACGCTCCTTGTATTTTTCCCAGCTCAGTCATGTACACTTCCCTCTCCTCTTCGTACCACGGACATTCCGCGACTACATGAACACCGGCGGGGGGAGCTTGTTTTACAACGTCGTTGCCAAGCGACGAAAACCCAACCCCGATGGCAATCACCGGGGGGTGGGGGGGGGGGGCACATACCCATGGGGTTCATTTTGATTGTGGCATCCCTGTCGGCATGAGGAAACTCTTTTTGTTTCTCCCCCACTTCAAAACCAACTACACAACGGGCAGGGAGAAGCCGGACAAACAACGCGCAACTCCTAGCGTACTATAATAGTGGTATTGTGGTACAGAGGTATACCATATGCCCCGGATGATGTAAACCGAAAGTGACCGCAAACAAGGTCCGTGGGCCCTCAGTCACGACACCCCCATCTGTCGCGCGGGGAAACTTGTGTCGCTGCCCCAAGGGCAACCCCGTCCCCTTCCCTGCAGCTGCCGTTGTTCTGGTCTTGACATGAAAGCCGTTTTGACCTCTATCCAGCACCCGTCGGGTTAAACTAACTCAAAATTCTGCTGAATGCGGGGAAAGAAACCGACATGACTTCGCATCACTCGCGAAAAGCAACAGGTAGGGTACGGCAAAGAGTCCAGCGCACCAAACGGACTTACCATGCACTCTTGGTGCATCTCCCACCATTGGTTGCCGATGAACGATTTCTTGCCCTTCCGATACCTGAGCCAGCCAGAGGAACAGAGATGTAGTCATGTAGATAAAACAGAGGATGATAGAAACGCAAAAGTGTCAGAAAATGAACTCGGAGGAGGGGGATACAGCGAAGACGACCATACACAGATCGTCAGACATGTAGCACACGCAGCGAAAAAAAGCAGCAGGAAGGAAATGCAGCTGGAACAAGTTGGGTGTTTTACCGGATACACCTACCCGTGTTGATAGGGAGGGATAAACGTGGTACCGCATGGTGGATCGTCGGCCTCTTCAACCCAAGCTTCAGATGAAAAGACCAACGACGATCGTTCGCGCATCGGGACCACTTTGCCTTGCTGGACAGTTTCGCGAAAACAACGCTAAAGGTGGTGTGCCCAAAGCAGGGTAATAAACACGCCTTCGACCCGTCCCCCCACGGACCGGGGCTACAATTTGAAATGACCTATTAAACCTAATTGACATGTAACACTTAGGTTCGGTGCTATGCTGGTGAAAGACGCAAAACACTACACCGTGGGCGTGCGAACGTCAAACCCTCGGTCACCTGGAGGTTTTCGCGAGAATTTTCTTGAAGGGACACAAACATACACACAACAAAACAATGCAAGTAGTCCACCGGCTTGGAACGACTTCCATGCACAACATAGAGCCGGCAGGACAGGAAAGCTTCCATTTTGTTGGACAATTTCAACTGTTCAAGGACCGCACCCCAGCTGTACTTTCCGAGCATGTACCAGCCCAATTCTCCAAAGCGTCTATTTGATTTCTATCTACAGCTAGCTGTCCGGCGGCGGAGACCTGTTGACCTCCTAAATAGCAAGCCGACCAAAGGGGGGAGTGATGAGGTATATCTCGTGCGCGTTTTTACGGTAGTCCCCTCACCGGGCCTGGTAGATCCCGTAGGGCGCGATTATCATCCACGCGACAAGTAGCAGGGCGCCGTGGAGGGAGTAGTACTCTGCGGAGTCAGAGCACTGCTCGTCAGCGACCGAGCCATCCTGAAAGTTGACCTGGGCCGCCCCGCGTTGGCTGTTGGGGTGCTTGCCAATGCCGTCGCCGGAGCGCCAGGAGTAGATAATGGAGGTATCTTGGGAGAGGTATATGTCGTCGCTAAGAAGGTAGTCCTGATGTATTGTGTTGTCGCAGGGGGAACCAAACACGGAGGGCTAGGAACTCGCTGGGAGGGCTGGCGTTCATCTTTCGTTTGCCCTTTATGCAAGAAAAGTTGCGCAACAACAACAGTCGTCGCTACGCGTATTGCTGGAATGATGCCGCTTACACAGAGAACCCTACTTCTCACTCTTAAATTTTATGTATGTATTCCTCAACCTACCGCTGCAATTCGCGACCAGCGGTTGCCATGACTAGGGCCATCTCTTCCTGAGAGCACGGTTTGTTGCGGTGCGATTGCTTCTCACTTAGTCGTCGTGCATCAACACACAGCACCCCGCTTCACCCGCTGCCACGCAGAAGTTTGGTGGAAGACATCGGTGCGCATTCGTTCACTGAAACTCGACAAGATCTCTGGAATCTGTCTGACTGCACGAAAAACATGCCTACACGTTCGGCCTCGACAAAGCCTGAGTATGTACTTCCGCCCGCACACCCAGTGAGTGTTGAGTTTCAGATTCAAAATACCACCTGAGATGATTTCAGGAGTGGGGAAGCGGGCAAAATCTTGCGAAATCCTACATAAAAACTTCAATTTGACGGCGTCCACTCAAAACTACACCTCTTGCTTTCAATATACACAGAGGGGTGATGTTTCTCGGCGATAGGAAGTTTACCCTCACACATCCGAGCAACAACAACAAGACACATGTTGATGCTGACCTCTTTCGCTTTCCCCCGTCCGTCCCTTACCGAGTCGTCGGTGCCCTCGCCGGAGCGCGCGAAGGTGACACTGGTCCACTCCCCGTCTACGCTCACGGTTACCACATCGAGGTCGGTGTTCTCTTCGTCATCGAGGGGCGGTTCGGACCGCCTGCAAAAAATTCGCAAGACGCCCCCCCCGACAGACACGTTGGGCGGTCGCGATCAGCACGATCGACACGAGCTACAAGATAAAACGGCAAAAAAAAAAATGTTTTCTTCCTATTCTAGGTTCCGCGGAGACTGACGGGCTTGTCACTGTGGCGCGAAAGCGCGGTCGATGACACAATGAGACGTTCCTAAAACATACTGTACGATCCGGTTATGAAAAAGCGAGGGCGGTCCCAACGATGCTCAAGCCGCAAAATGCGCGACACCGACCGGAAAATGAGGGACAACTTTTCGCATACTCCGCAAGCCGAACCAGTCGGCGAAATCGCGGGACGTGCTCGCTCCCCAGGAGGCCGGTTCGCTCGGTTGCCTCCTCACGGACATGCTTATCTGCCATTCGGGAACACTCAAACGGCCCCTTGATTGACTCAACGCCCGTGTGTTATCCGCCGCTGTTTATTTTGTGCCGGTCTCTTGACATTTCACGGCTTCCCTGTTGCGTGACGAACCAATACTCAGTAGTCAAAGCTGGATGCTCTCAGGCGCCCCGGCAACGAATGTCTATACCACGATTTCGAGCTCGCGTCACCCACCACCCAGATGGTGTTGACTCTACCCGCAGGACTCTTCCACAAAAGGTCGTGTCCGGGACTCGCTCTCTCTCACTCTCTCCCCTGCCTGTCCGTCCCGTCTCTATGCCTCCCAGTCCATCTGTTTGTCTCCTCCTTGTCTATCTGAGTGTCTGTGTCAGTCTGTGTCTGTCTGTCTGTCTGTCTGTCTGTCTGTCTGTCTTGTGTGTCTGTCTGTCTGTCTGCACTCACTCCCTGGGCGCGCTGCGGTCTGTGCACTCGGCCGAGGTCTCCGACTCGACCACGCAGATGACGAAGTCGTCTGCGGTCTCCATGCTCAGCCCTCCGAACCCGATTGCCTTTGACGCACCGAGAACAATTGACACGGCATCAAGGCGGGCGGCTCGTGGACACGTACGAATGGCAGCAGAAAAAACTACGCCAACAAAACAAGAAACACAAACAAAAGGCAACACAACTAGGGCCATAACGGTTAGAGCGAGACACGCACGAGGGGTATGCAGTACAAAAATATCCTAAACACCATGCACAATCTCCAGAGAGACCCGCCCACGAATTCTCGCCAAACAGGAACGCTGCTACGACGAAAAACATACACACAAGAAAAAATCGCACTATTCACAACGGTTCCAGCGAGTGAGCGAGCGAGCGAGTCACTTGTCGTTGGAACAGCTTCGTTTCTAGAATCCGTACGATCCAACGCGAGGGATAAACTTGAGATGGAAGGCGTGTTTGGCGCGTAGAAATACGCTCTTGTATCTTAACAACGCTATCTATCCTACAACCGACAACCGTGCTTGGAACGAGACACCGGGAATCGTACAAACGCGCTGTACCCTACATTAACTGCGAAGTGCCCCCGAACCACCCGTCCCCCACCCAAGCAATACTAAATGTTACATGCGTTACCCCCAAGAACCACGTCAACACCCGTGCACAACGCTGCCGCACATGCGCCCCCTTGACTGCAGCACGGCACTGACAACTTCATGAGCACTCACGATCATGCCCTGCCCCTCGATACCCCTCGCCGAGAGGGTGATGAACATGTCCCCGCCTTCTTCGACCAAGTCCGACTGATTCCAGGCCAGCTTGTAACTTTGTTGAATGGGTTCCATGGCGGATAGACACACGCACAGCGAGACGAGAGGAGAAGGGCAAAGATTGAAGAACGCTCGCCGCAGACACAAGGGGTGCTACGCGTTGTTATTTGCCCTTGCGCTGAGACCGTTGACTGGGCATGCATCTCTTCCGAGACGGAGGAGAGAGGGAGGGCTACTGGGTTCCCTTGCTCTGTAGATTTAGTTAGGGGTTGAACCAGCACCCGTCACCCAACTTGTCGACCCGCCCCCCCCCCCCCAACCG